AGGTGACAATATTAGGACGAGGGTAAGGGGATGGGGGAGAGGAGGCGTGGGTACCGATACAGGAAGAGGAAGAGGGAGGATGAGGAGGATGAGGATGAGAAGGAGGAAGAGGAGGATGAGGAAGAGGAAGAGGCAGAGGAAGAGGAGGAAGAGGAGGATGAGGAAGAGGAAGAGGCAGAGGAAGAGGAGGAGTAGGAGGAGTAGGAGGAAGAGGAGGAGGAGGAGTAGGAGGAAGAGGAGGGAGGAGGAGTAGGAGGAGTAGGAGGAAGAGGAGGGAGGAGTAAGAGGAAGAAGGAGAAGAAGAAGAAGAAGACGAAGGAATGAAAAATAGAAAGGGGAATAGGAGGGAATAGGAGGGAATAGGAAGAAGAGGCAGGAGGAGAATGATTAGGGAATGGGAACAAGTCAAGAGGAAGAAAGATCTGGGCGAGGAAGAGGGAGGGCCAGGGGGAGGGGAGGGAGGGCCCCCACACTTGCCGAACGGTTCCAGCAGGTGATTCTAGGGTCAGCTGTAGGTAACAGATCACTTACAGACTGCTGACAAGGGAAATGACTGAATTATTAAATTGCATTAGTTATTTCGAGGTAATTATTGTGCGTGCCTGTGGGGAGTGAGGGGAGGGAAGGGAGGGGGAGGAGAGGAGAGAAGAGGGAGGGGAGGGGAGGTTGGGGAGAAGAGGAAGTGAAAGGAGGGAAAATGAGACAGAGGAGGGGGAGCTGAAGGCATTAGCGACGTCTTTTATTTTGGGGGGCCATGTCGCTATGCTGTACGAGAGAGAGAGAGAGAGAGAGAGAGAGAGAGAGAGAGAGAGAGAGAGAGAGAGAGAGAGAGAGAGAGAGAGAGAGAGAGAGAGAGAGAGAGAGAGAGACTTGTCGCTAAGCCAGAGACTGCACTGAAACCCCGAATATAACGAAAAAGCCGTAGCGAGGAGAAATTACTAAATCCAATCACATACTGCTTCTGAAGAGTTTATTTTGCTCGAGACGTCAACGGTTTAGTGTTTCCGTTGACGGCTAAATTTTCAGTTACATTTATTTAACTTCTAGGCGATTCGCACACAAGTTCTGGCTGATGATACTGCCTCACACTGCTTCGTAATTTTTCGAAGTCGATTTCTGCCTCCCAAAGACTGATATTTTAGTGCCTTCCCTAGCAGTCTAACATATAACGTATACTCATCATTCGACTTAGGCCTACATCCCCATTTACCACTAGAGGATACAGAATGAATAATAATACCAATTTAAAAAATCTAATCCCACTCGCAGCTGTTGATTATGCTAATTTCCCTTCATCTACAATCCACGATTCTCGTACTATTTAAAATACCCTACTTTCCGCGCTCCTTAGAAACAGCAGGGGAGACGCAGCGTTAAGCAGAGGGACATTTACTAAGCTTCTGACTTAAGAGTCCAGGCGGGAGACAGGACACCTTACAAGGGGCTGGTCAGGACACACATTTTGCAACCGAGAGTAACAATCCTTTTCTTGCGTCTCTCTTCAAGTAAGGTTTCACATATCTAGGTAGCTTGAGAAAGCGAGAGAGATGAGAACGAAAGACCCGAGTTTTGAAAGATATCAGACCAGATTAGTAAACGGATTCTAATGAAGGGAGGTCAACTTGGGTCAAACGCATATATGTACATACATATCGAAGGGGCCTTGTTTTTTGGGCCACCTCAAAAGCACACAGACGAAAAAAATAACAAAGTTTGTGAGGTTTCCTTCTTGCCAAATAGCCTGACGGGCGCAAACAGGGTCCAAGACAGGCCGCATGGAAACAGCTGTATGCATCACGTGACCCAGACCTTCCCTTGGGCAATTATTCATAAGGATACCAGCTATGTCTTCCTCTTTGTTTTTCCCTTTTCTTCCTGTCTTTTTCTTTTCATTTCTTATGTCTCCCTTCTCCTTCCTCTCTTGTTTTCTTTCCTTTCTCCTTTCTTCCTTCCCTTTCGCCTGTTTTTCTTCCTCTCTTCTGTCCTTCCTCCTCTTATCTTTCTCCTTCCTCCCCCTCCGATTCTGTTTTCCTTCCTTCCTTTCTTTCTTTACCCTCCCCTTTCGCCTATTTGTTTACTTTCTTCCCTCCTTCCTTTCTTCTCTCCCCCCCCCCCCTCCTTTTCGAGAGGCACTAACCCCACTGAACCATTAGCAATCCTATCCCCCTTAACCCCCCCCCCCCCCCCAGATTTGACCTGACCCTGCAGCTGGGTGGCTTCGATAAGAATAACGTAAGGAGACAAGAGGTCGACTCAGGTCACGGGGACGGGGAAGGGGGGGGGGGAGTGACTTGCACCTCGAAGGACATGGCTGGTAACCTGACCTCTATCCCCCCCTCCCTCCCCCCCATCTCAGTTCAGGGTCTTCCTATTTTTCTTCCTCCGATCTCTCGGGTTCTCCCCTCTTTTTCCCCTTGGTCAAGATCTTGAGGGAAAGGCGGAGAGAGAGAGAGAGAGAGAGAGAGAGAGAGAGAGAGAGAGAGAGAGAGAGAGAGAGAGAGAGAGAGAGAGAGAGAGAGAGAGAGAGAGAAGGATAGGAAAAAGGGACGAGAGAGGAACAGAGAGGAAAGGTGAAAAGAGAAGAACGTGGAAGGGGAAGAGAGAAGAAAGTGGAAAGACAAAAGAGAGGAGGGAAGAGGGAGGGAAAAAACAGGGGAAGAAGTGGAAAGAGAAGAGAATGAAATAAAAGGAGAGGCAAACAACGATAGGAATAAACATAACTAAGTTGGAATTTCCTCCGCCAGCTCCACACGTCCCTGAACGATCGCAAAGGCGGACTTCCTAACGAGGAAACGGGGTAACTGTCCTGTTCTCACTTCCTCATTTTCCGTTTCCCCAAAAGCGCTCGATAAAAAAGAGAAATCCGATGATCGTATTGTGTGAGGACTATGCCTGATCGGAAATACAAGACGCAGTAATGGATGACTATCTATATACCAACTGAAAAAAACCCTGTCGCTATAACCAGCCAGGGATATTTATAAAATGGTACTATGCAGACGTTCTGGGTCGGAAACGCAAAATTGGAACAATCGGATGAAATTATTTTCGCTTTAATTCCCTGTTGCTAACCTGCCAGTGGGTTTACTAATAGTCATAATTATGGCGGCTAATAATAATAGTAATTATACTAAAGGTAGCTGCCAACCTTTAATGAAGGAAAGGGGAAAAAAATCCAGAACATAAAATGCCACACTTACCTCTCCCTCAAGACTACCAAATAAAGACAGACACGCATAAATTCTCTCTCGTGTAACAGGAATCCCTCAACGGTAAGTGACAACAAAGAGACTAATGCAAAGACAAGCTAGTTCTCTCTCTCTCTCTCTCTCTCTCTCTCTCTCTCTCTCAAGCACGTCTTATCTCGCCGCCATCTTGCCTTTAAGCAACGGCCTTCAGTTGTTTATCCGAATTCCCTTTTGAGTGGCGAGGACAAGATAGTCATTTTCAGTTTCGTCCTGTCCATTGTAATGATTAATGACCACGAGGCGACAGTGGGAGCGAATGATGGCATAGAGGGGGGTGGGGTGAGGATATGAAGTGGGGAAAGGGGGGGGGGGAGTAAAGAAATGAGGTGGGAAATAAAAGACTTGAGGTAAATGAGTAGTGCGTTGGGGTGGGGTGGGGGTAGGGGTGGTGACTCGTCTGTTTAGGGCCGATGAAAACAAGCTACGAGTTATTTACATGCATTCGAGCACACAAACTCGCTCTTTTCTCCTCTCCTCTCCTCTCTCTCTCTCTCTCTCTCTCTCTCTCTCTCTCTCTCTCTCTCTCTCTCTCTCTCTCTCTCTCTCTCTCTCTCTCTCTCTCTCGTTAATACACATACTTTATTCAAAACCAGCCTCACATCAATGACGTTACGAGAATCAGAATAAGAGAGGGAAAAAAAATCACCATTTTGCGTATATTTACTCAGTCCAGGAACGGCCATTCACCTGTTCTGCGTAGGCCTATACCTGGGCTCTCAACAGGCGTGGGGGACGGGGGGGTATGTGTTTATTCACAGTTGGGGTCAAAAAGGGAGGGGGGAGGGGGAGGGGGAGGTGACGGAAGAGGGACCAAGGCGTGTCATTTTATTCAGGATGTGAAAAGGACGGATGAAGTTTGAGAACTGGCGATAAGGGAGAGAGAGAGAGAGAGAGAGAGAGAGATGGAGATAAGGGAGAAGCATTGAGGGATTGAAGGACGGAGAGAGGGAGAGGGAGAGAGGTGGGTGATGCCGTCTCATTACGATTTCAGTTCTCTGAAGAATCACACTAAATTTCCAATTCACCTCTTGCATATCATACATCCCTATAAACATAGTAACATCAAAACTGAACAAACTATAAACCCCCGAAAAAAGAAAAAAAATACACCCTCCCCCAAAAAACTGAATAAATACAACAAAAATACAACCAACAACCGAAAACCCAGAGTACATATAACCAGGCTATTAATGGTGAGGAATTTTGGTTTTATTTCTGGTAAGTATAACAACATCCATTAATTTGTACAAATAATTAGGTGTTTCGCTATACCTGACAACTCACAGTGCAATCTCACTAAACTAAACGCCATCAGCTCCTCCCCATTACTATACCCCAAAATTCGTAAGCTATTTTATACTAAATATTATTTCCATACATAAAACTAAAATCAGTAACAATATCTAAAAAAATAATTAAAAAATGTAAAAAAAACCCTGAATATCTACAACGAACAAAGAAAACAAGGAACCAGCCACCTAGACAGTAGTCACCCCTACAGAAAAGTTCCCCCGCCATAACCGAAGCAAAGGAAAACCCACCTTATTATGGTAACGAACTGCGACATTGTGAGCTCCTGAGGCACGAGGAACTTGGTCTTGTCGAGCACGGGCAGAGTCGACTCCTTGGCGTAGCGCTCCACGATGACCTGCCGGAGGGAAAAAAAATTGTATGGATGAATTGGATGAAGGAATCCGAATATGCAAAAAAGACTGATAACCATGTGAATTTAGAAAATAAAAGGATTGAAAAAAAAGAAAAAATAACCATGTGAATTTAGAAAATAAAAGGATTGAAAAAAGGAGAAAAAAATGAGATGGGAAAAAATAAGAACGCGTATTTTCTTTTGGCAAGTAATAATAGATAAGAAAAAGAAAATAAACACATTTGTAAATACGCTTTCATTGTACCCCCCCCCCCCAAAAAAAAAGAAATAATACAATATGAAACAATAACAATAACAAATACAACAATAATTGCAAGAAACAAATACCAAAGCAACAAGAAGGAAAGAAGGAAACGAAGGAAAAGGAAGAACAAAAAGAAGAAGGAAAAGAAAAGCAAGGAGAACAAGAAGAGGGAAAAGAACAAGAACAAGGACAAGGAAGAGAAAACCAAGAACAAAAACAATAACAGCAACAGCGACCGCCAGGAGTCATAGCAACAACTCCCGAAAAGTACCTCCTAGCAACAAACCAAAGGTCAAAGGTCAGATGGCAGGTGCGGTTATCAACAAGGCAGGCCAAGCAGGTCAATGAACTGCCCCCCCCCATGCTTGTTTGCAAGCACACGTAGGGGGGGTAGTGGGAGGGGAGGGGAGGAAGGGAGAGAAGGGAGGAAGGGAGGAAGGGAGGAGGAAAGGAGGAGGGGAGGAAGGGAGGGAAGGAGGAGGAGGAAAGGAGGAGGGGAGGAAGGGAGGGAAGGAGGAGGAAGAAGGGAGGAAGGGAGGGGAGGAGGAGGAAAGGAGGAGGGGAGGAAGGGAGGGAAGGAGGAGGAGGAAGGAAGGGAAAGAGGAGGAGGAGGGTGGGGTGGTTGAGGAGCTAGAGTAATGGGAAGAATAGGAGCATTAGCAACAACAGGCGGGGGGGGGGGGGCGAGGAGTACAGGAGAGGAGATGAAAGAGAAAGAGGGGAAGAGGGGAAAGGAAAAGAGGGGCAGAGGAGTACATGAGAGGAGAGGCGAAGAGTACAGGTCAGGAGAGGGGGAGAGGGGAGAGAGGGGGGGGGGGGTTAGGGGCCGACGAGTACAGGAGAGGATAGACGAAGAGTACAAGACGGGAGAAGGGAGGGAGGGAGGGAGGGGGGAGGGGGAAAGGGCAGTCAGGGGAACACGCCCACCGTCTGCCCGCCCGCCCGCCCGCCAGCCAGGGGGTCAAGCGATGCCGTGACACAGCAAGCAGCGAAGCAGGTTGGCCGAGCGTCGACCGGACCCCATGGCTTCGCTGCAAGGTCGCCATTCTATCTCCTCCTTCCTCCTCTCTCCTCTTCCATAGTCACTGGACTTGTGATGAGTTATGTGGGGAAGGGGAAGGGGAGGGGAGGGGAGGAAGGGAGAGGGGGAGGAGAGGGAGGAAGAGGGAGGGAGAGAGGGAGGGAGAGAGGGAGGGAGGAAGAGGGAGAGAGGGAGGGAGGGAGAGAGGGAGAGAGGGAGGGAGGAAGAGGGAGAGAGGGAGGGAGGAAGAGGGAGAGAGGGAGGGAGGGAAGGGAGGGAGGAAGAGGGAGAGAGGGAGGGAGGGAGGGAGGAAGAGGGAGAGAGGGAGGGAGGGAGGGAGGAAGAGGGAGAGAGGGAGGGAGGGAGGGAGGAAGAGGGAGAGAGGGAGGGAGGGAGGGAGGAAGAGGGAGAGAGGGAGGGAGGGAGGGAGGAAGAGGGAGAGAGGGAGGGAGGGAGGGAGGAAGAGGGAGAGAGGGAGGGAGGGAGGGAGGAAGAGGGAGAGAGGGAGGGAGGGAGGAAGAGGGAGAGAGGGAGGGAGGGAGGAAGAGGGAGAGAGCGAGGAAGAGGGAGAGAGGGAGGGAGAGAGAGGTGTTCCCCGGATGTTTATGCCGTCCAATCAGCGGAAGAAGGTGGGAGGGGCGGTGGGCGTGATAACAGGTCACACTCGGTCGATCCTACGAGAGAACAGGTCGCGGCGAGTGTACGCGCGTGCATGCGAGAGGGAAGGAGAGGGAGAGAGGGGGAGGGAGAGGAGAGGGAGAGGGAGAGGGAGAGGGAGAAGGAAGAAGGAAGGGGAGGAGAGGGAGGACGTGAGAGGAAGGAAGAGATGGAGGGACGGTGTACAGGACTCGGTAGAAGGGGGGGGGGGGACACTGATATATGTACCGTGTAAATTGATAGATGCAAACATGCAAACATGCAAACATGCAAAAACACACACACACACACACACACACACACATGTGAATTCTTCTTCCTAATCCCTCTCTTTCAACCCATCTCTTCCCCCACATCTCCGTCTCCCTCTCCTCTCCCTCTTCCCCCCTCTCCTCCCCCTCCTTTCCTCCTCCTCCCCCCCTCTCCTTCCCTCCACACAAAATGAAGGCAAGAAAACAAGAAAAGTTTATCACTTGCGCAACAAAGTGAAAGTTGCGCGGTTGGAGGACGGAGTCAACGAGAGAGAGAGAGAGAGAGAGAGAGAGAGAGAGAGAGAGAGAGAGAGAGAGAGAGAGAGAGAGAGAGAGAGAGAGAGCATGAGAAATGGAGCGAAGGCGAAAGATAAACAAAATCTAGAATACTCCTCTCGCGCCTCTGCAACAACTACTGCAACAACAAAACAATTAAACTAACAGGAATAAAACAAAAACTAATAGACTGGACTAAGTAAACAAAAAAACAGACGAAATAATATGGAAAAGACACCACATAAGTCACTTGATCCAGGCAGGGAACCCCTTTATATCTACCCTCCATCTCCTCCTCACCCTCCCTCTCATCTATCTATCTATCTACCCTCCTCCTCCTCCCTCTCATCTATCTACCCTCCTCCTCTTCCTCCTCCCTTTCATCTACCCCCCCCCCCTCCTCATGGCGACAGTTATCACATACGCCCAACATCGCGGTCTGCTCTGCTATCGGGTAACTGATTAAATCTCAACTGATATATGCAAAGTTCGCCTGTGTTATTTACCTGTTCTGTGCGTCACGATTGGGTGTACTGTTTATGACGCATCTCAAGTGGGCAAACATCATTATCATTACCTACATTACTGTTATTAACATCATGTCGTGGTCCTCATTACTAAGGTGTCATTATTCTCATTATTAAAATTGTCCTTATTCTCATTATTAACATCATGCTGTGCTCTGTGCTGTGGTGTGTGTGTGTGTGTGTGTGTGTGTGTGTGTGTGTGTGTGTGTGTGTGTGTGTGTGTGTGTGTGTGTGTGTGTGTGTGTGTGTGTGTTTGTTTTACCTGCTCGCTATTTTTTTCTATTCGTTTGCCCATTTATCTTTTTTTCTAACCTTTGCTCTCCCTCTTGTCCTTTTCCCTAATCTTTCGCTCTCTCTATTCTACTTTCCTTATCTTCGTAAGCACCTCCATATCTTTACCCTCCTTCCTCTTTCTCCTCCTCTCCCTCTCTTATTCCACCTTCCTATATTTTCCTCTCTTTCTTTTCCTCCGTTCTCACCCTTCTTTTCTCTTCTTTCCACCCTCCTCTCCTCCCATTTCCAACTATTTCTCTCTCTCTCTCTCTCTCTCTCTCTCTTTCTCCTCCTCATTTTCCTCCCTCTCCCCCTCCCTCCTTCCTTCCCTCCTTCCGTCTTTCCTCCCTCCCCCTCCTCGCCCATTCCTCCTCTATTCTCTCTGCCCCTTGTTAGCACCCAGGCCTCTCGTGTCAGCAAGGGAAGGGAGGGGGTGGGGGAAGGAAGAAGAGGGAAGTGGGGGGGGGGTTGAGGGAAGAGGGGTTATGAGAAGAGGGTGAAGAGGGGGGAAAGAAGAGGGGAGGAAGAGGGGGGGAAGAAGAGGGGGGAAAGAAGAGGGGGTTAAGGGATGGAATACAATTTCGTAATGCAATAAAAAGCGGTTTGCGTGTAATTTCGTAATACAGTAAAACAAAAAAGAACAAAAAAAGAACGCGGTTTGTGCGTAATTTCTGACGAAGCTTGTTAAATACACCTCTTGTATTGTGAATATATGAATTCTCATTTTAACCTTTTCTACATACAGCCGTTTGTGGATACGGAGATTCGTTAGCCAAAAAATGTGAATTAAAGGTGTTTAGAATAAATTAACGTATATGGAATGGTAGGGTATATATAAACGAGAATAAAAGGTAGAGAAGAGAAAGAATGTATAGTAATGGAGAAGGAAAAGAGGAAGGTGGGTGGGAGGAGGGGGAAATAGGGAAGAGGAAGAAGACAGGGAGGGAGGGAGGAGGACGTCGACGGGGAAAACTGAAAATGAAGATGGCAGACAACGACGACGAAAGGAGGAGATGACGAAGGAGGAAGAGGAGGAGGAAGAGGAGGAAGAGGAGGAAGAGGAGGAAGAGGAGGAGGAAGAGGAAGAGGAGGAGGAGGAGGAAGAGGAAGAGGAAGAGGAGGAGGAAGAGGAGGAGGAGGAGGAAGAGGAGGAAGGAGGAGGAGGAGGAGGAGCCAACAACAGCAGGGGCCCCACAGAACCCGCTCCTCTCCCTAAGGGTCATGTACGTGTGTATGTCTGTCTGTTACCACCTGGCCGCGCGCCCGTTGCTATGGGAGCAGCCGACGCCGGACTCGAGGGAGGAATACAATGAGAGAAATGACTCGCACTTTGCATGAAAAAAAGGAAAAAAAAAAAAAAAGAAATAAACAAAAGGAAAGAAAAAATGACAATTCGCGAGGTCAGGGAGAACGTGAATTTGTTGGTTAAAGTTTTTCATTATTTTATTTTTTTATCTTTTAATGCAGGCTGTATTGTGGTTATTTCTGGGAATTTATTTGTTGTTGGAGTATATCTAATGAGATGAGGTGGTTGGGTTGGGCTGAACCGAGTGGCTTTTACTTGTAATTTGTAAAAAAAAAAAAAAAAGTAAAAAAAAAAAAAAATAAAATAAAATAAATAAATAAATAAATGGTAACATCATTCTGATTATTAGCATACGCACAATAAATTAATCCAGTCAGAATCACAGTTTTGCTGAAGAAAACAATGAAAACAAAGAAAGAACGATAAA